GTTATATCATCAATCCTTTAGCGCTCCTCAATTATTGGTCATGATGCTAAGCCAATATTAGCAAAATGTTAAATCATACAACTATATAAATTTTTTTGCCATTTAAAAAATGTTACAGACTTTTTAATGACATAAAAATTACACTATCGTTAGCTACATGATTTTTAAAAAAAGCATGCCAGTGTGATCTCAATTAGCTTTACGAAGAAATACATCATGTTAACATTGGTTATCTGTAAGTGGTGAGCATATACTTTTCTATATATTTGAGAACAGAAAAAAAATTAACACCATTAAAAGATAAAAATGAAGCATAAACCACAAAAAAATCCCAAAACTATTTCAGAAGAATCAAACAGATTTGCCTCACTTCCTATAACAGACATATTTCTGAAGAGATGAGAGAACAGGAAAGATCCAATTGCTTACACTTTTTTAAACTTAAGAAACTACTTCATAAAGGGGAAAAATGCCTAAACTATATCATAAATGTAATATACATAGTTCATAACAAAAAGTATGAAAAGCAGTTAATTGCCTTGCCAGATGAAGATGGAGAGGTGTATTACCTGTAAGGGTACTGTCTGTATTCCAATGCTGTATTCCAAATTTTGACATGCACCAGTAAACATGTTCTAAGACTCTCTCCAGAGCAGTAGTTTCCAATCCCTAATGACGGCCCGAGGGGGACTCCCTAGCATTTGCAAGCGGTTTGAAAATCCATATGGCACCCAGGATTATCTAAACTACTTTTCAAAAGTAACACAGATAAATACTATTGTGACTAAATACATTTAAAATAAATAGTTCATTCAAAACAGTTACAGAATTCAAAGTAGTTTTTGGCCTTTGCATATTTTCTCAAACTTATATTAAAGGTAAAATCATTCATGTAGGAATCCACAACAGTTTGATAACCACTGCTGAAAAGGTAGGAAACTACACTGCAGGGAAACTTTTACCTTACTAATATTTTCAGCTGAATCGGATTAGTTTTTGTTACCTATCAATCTTGAAAATAAAGAAACTAGTAAACTACTCTT